AATTCTGGCCACCGAAATGATGTATTGGAGAAGATGCTGTGGACTAACCAGAAGAGACCGAGTCACGAATGAGGAAATAAGAAGAAGAATGGGGAGAAAGACCGACGTCTTAAAGTACATAGAAACGAAAAGATTGGTATGGTACGGTCATGTTAGAAGGGCGGAAAATAGATGGATTAACAGAGTGACAGAGTGGAGCCCGATTGAAGAAGAAAGCGAGGGCGGCCAAGAAGATCATGGCGAGATGAAGTGGACGAGTCTATGCATCGGAGAGGACTACGAGAGGGAACATGGGATGATCGAGACGAATGGAGGACCCGGTTGATGGAAGGAAGGCAGCCAGAGCTGTAGAATCCTTTTATATATATATATATATATATATATATATATACTGCATATATATATATATATATATATATATATATATATATATATATATATATATATATATATATATATATATATATATATATATATATATATATATATATATATATATATATATATATATATATATATATATATATATATATATATATATATATATATATATATATATATATATATATATATATATATATATATATATATAAACCAGGTCTCTTTGGGAATAATGGACGCTTTTTTAAACAGTATATTTATATTTTATACCTATTGATATTTTTACATTGTTAATTTCAGTATAAAAAAAATTGTTTTTCTGTTTTCAGGTTTTTGTATAAGGCTCCCGTTTTCTCGTTCCTGTCCCCGTTTTCTGTCCCTGATGGCTGTGAATACGTGTATTTATTTACAAATTACTGTAAGTCATACTAATACCTTACTTATTTACGTTAAAATTGCATATAATTAAGTAATTGCTGTAGAAATCATTCAATTCTTTATTTTTTATATTTATTTAGTCACGTTGTCTCATATTTCAAATAAATATGTTTGAATAAAATTTTGTTTTGTTTTATTTATGATAAGAAAGAGTAAAAATTCATTTAAACTGAAAGAGGGCCCGCCATTGAATAACCGGAAACGGAAATAAAAATGAAGCCATCATGTCAACCTGTCAATTGGAAAATTAGTTCTCCAGACGACAACGAAGGCTTTCGGTGGCGTGTTTCCACGATTTAACACAGAGTTGACACTTCTTTCTAGTTAATTATTTTATGATTGTTGCTGTCTATTTGAACCAAAATATCTAAAGATTTTGCGATTAAGACACATTACGATATCTATACAGGGTGTCCCAGAAATAAGTGCAAGTATTTTAAGGGGTGGTAGATCTCAATAAAAGAAACATATTTTCTCTTTATCTTTTTTTAAATAAGTCCAATAGAATGGAGTTATTTTACTTTGAAAATTTCCAAAAAAAAATGATTTTTTGCTAAAATTTTGAGAACCACTGGATCTTCTTCCTTGTAAATTTAATCTACTACCTATGTTGCCATATTATCAAGAAATTATGGTTTTTAAATAAAAACTAAAAAAAAATCCGAATTTTCAAATTCGCGAAAGAAACCTCATAGGCGTGTTTCTGGGGTTGAACTATACTACCAATTATAATACTTGCACTTATTTCTGGGACACCTTGTATATTACAGTTGAGGGTTGGAACCTTTGGTGTTACACAGCAAAATAAAAACACTAAATCACCACAATACACCAAAACACTTTTACTTTTACACTGGACGCGCGTTTCGCTAACCATGTTAGCATCATCAGCAGATGATTATAAACTAAAGTACAATCTACAAGTTGAGCGTTTATATACTCGCTCAGTGGGCACAGAGTGGGCGTGACAAGATCTAGCCAACCAAGTCAGAACCCACCGAGCCTAACAGTTAGATTTCCGCCACTAGAGTAGTAGGAACAAAGAACTTGAAGGAATTGGACCGTTGTCTCTGTTCACACTATCTTTACATTTATTAATTCTGATGCTTTCATATGCATCTAATTGCCTGTAATTTGAGACTTGTTTAAGTAATTTTAAGTTATCAAGATCTATACAATGTCCTTTATCAACAATATGTTCGGCAACGCAAGATTTATCAGGTCTACCATATCTTATCTGAGCTAAATGTTCTTTAATTCTAGTTAATATTGATTTTCTAGTTTGCCCAACATATTTCTGATTACAATCTTTACAAGAAATTTCATAAATACCCGACCTTTCCAGTAGAGGTGTTTTATCCTTTGGATTACCTAATAATTGTTGTAATTTATTATTAGCACTATACACAAGTTTATAATTGGCATTCTTAAAAATTCCTTTTAGATCACGGGATAACTGTCTATCAAACGGTATTGAAAAATATTTTGACGTATCTTTCTCCACTTGAAAAGTCGAATTTTCAGAAATCATTAACCTATACCTACGTTTTCTAATTATTTTATCAACTAGTGAAGGAGAATATCCATTACACTCAGCTCATTCCTAATGTAATCTCTTTCTATTTCATTTCTTTCGTTGGAAAGTGGGAAACTAAGTAATCTATGAACTAAGAAATTTAAACTAGCCATTTTATGTTCAACACTATGATGTGATTCATTAGGAATATATCAGCGTGTGGTATTTTTCCTATAGATATCAAATTCCACGCAATTATTAGTATTTCTAATAACTAATACATCTAGAAATGGTAATCTGTCGTTGTTCTCAATTTCATGCGTAAATTTAATGGAAGGAAAACGATTATTTAACTTAGAAATAAAATTATCTATGGTGTCTCAATGTGTGTCAAAAACAACAAAAATATCATCCACATACCTAACCCATACTCTTGGAAAATACTTAAACTGATTCTTAGCTTCCACTTCAAACCTGCTCATGAATAAATTAGCCAAAAATGGAGACGATGGATTACCCATTGCTGTACCTTCCCGCTGTTCAAAAAAGTTGTTATTAAATTGAAAACAATTTTGCTTCATACATAACGATGTAAGCTCAATATATTCAATCACAGTTTTGTTGTCGAGACCATTTGCGTTCAGTAATTCCTTCAAATAGCCTAAAGTATGTGGAATTGGAACACTTGGGAACAACGAAGATACATCAAAGGAGACCAAAATTTCACCTTCATGCAATGTTATATCTTTAATTTTGTTAATGAATTCAATATTATTTCTAACTGAGAAAGAAGGTTCATGATCAGGTAAATTTTCAAACTCACTTGATAACCATTTTGCCAAATTATAAGTCGGAGAACCTACAGCCGAAACAATTGGGCGCATAGACTTGTCCGGCCTATGAATTTTTGGCAAAGCATACAATTTTGGTAATGAGGGATTGGATACTTGCAATTTCCTCTTTAAAGAAAGATCAATAAGGGTGTTACATTCTTTTAGAGTTTTTTTAACGTCTGCTAACAAAATTGTTTTCAATTTAATAACAACTTTTTTGAACAGCGGGAAGGTACAGCAATGGGTAATCCATTGTCTCCATTTTTGGCTAATTTATTCATGAGCAGGTTTGAAGTGGAGGCTAAGAATCAGTTTGAGTATTTTCCAAGAGTATGGTTTAGGTATGTGGATGATATTTTTGCTGTTTTTTGATACACATTCAGACACCATAGATAATTTTATTTCTAAGTTAAATAATCGTTTTCCTTCCATTAAATTTTACGCATGAAATTGAGAACAACGACAGATTACCATTTCTAGATGTATTAGTTATTAGAAATACTAATAATTGCCTGGAATTTGATATCTATAGGAAAAATACGACCACACGCAGATATATTCCTAATGAATCACATCATAGTGTTGAACATAAAATGGCTAGTTTAAATTTCTTAGTTCATAGATTACTTAGTTTCCCACTTTCCAACGAAAGATATGAAATAGAAAGAGATTACATTAGGAATGTAGCTGAGTGTAATGGATATTCTCCTTCACTAGTTGATAAATTAATTAGAAAATGTAGGTATAGGTTAATGATTTCTGAAAAATTCGACTTTTCAAGTGTGAAGAAAGATACGTCTAAATATTTTTCGATACCGTTTGATAGAGAGTTATCCGTGGTCTAAAAAGGAATTTTTAAGAATGTCAATTATAAACTTGTATATAGTGCTAATAATAAATTACAACAATTATTAGGTAATCCAAAAGATAAAACACTCCACTGGAAAGGTCGGGTATTTATGAAATTTCTTGTAAAGATTGTAATCAGAAATATGTTGGGCAAACTAGAAGATCAATATTAACTAGATTTAAAGAACATTTAGCTCAGATAAGATATGGTAGACCGGATAAATCTTGCGTTGCCGAACATATTGTTGATAATGAACATTGTATAGATCTTAATAATTTAAAATTAATAAAACAAGTCTCAAATTACAGGCAATTAGATGCATATGAAAGCATCAGAATTAATAAATGTAAAGATAGTATGAACAGAGTCAACGGTCCAATTCCTTCAAGTTCTTTGTTCCTACTACTCTAGTGGCGGAAATCTAACTGTTACGCTCAGTTGGCTCTGACTCGGTTGGCTAGATTTTGCCACGCCCACTCAGGACCCACTGAGCAAGTATATAAACGCTCAACTTGTAGATTGTACTTTAGTTTATAATCATCTGCTGATGATGCTAACATGGTTAGCGAAACGCGCGTCCAGTGTAAAAGTAAAAGTGTTTTGGTGTATTGTGGTGATTTAGTGTTTTTATTTTACCTTGTATATTTTTGAAGAAAATTTGACGTAATCAACTGCTTTCCAGTAGCTGTGCATATTCGATGGGGCTGCCGATAATACTCGATCAAGTCCTGTCTAAACATAAATATCCTTCTTCTCCTCCCCTAACAAAGCGGTCCCAATTAGACGAATCGGTACGCTGTCAATCAAAACCGTTCTCTCCCGCTTATTACCCGTTTGTGACATGGAGAAGCGGCCCACCCCCATCCCCCACGGTCCGCCACCGGTCATCCTCGCGGCGCGTTTCCCATTACCCCCACCACTGGCCGAGCGTGCTGCGCGTCAACCCCCTCGAAAGCTGTCGAAGAGACGCGTCTCCTCGCATTCCTAGTTCGCCAACAGAACGGTGCGGTGGTGCCGTCATTCCTGCTGCTGCGACTTGTTGTGAAGCTGCCGTTAGCGAGCGCGATTTACGTTTGTCGCGCGCTAGGAACAGTGTCGTGCCCCTTCCTTGGGATAGGTTATTTACTATTTGTTTACGTACGTTTGACGTGACGTATTATATCGACGGGAAGATAACGGTGTTTTCAGATTGTCCCTTGGGTTTGTTGTTGGTGTGCTGTTTGAGTTTGGCGCTCTTTTTTCGAGGACTCGAGTGGTTTGTTTCTTGTTCTGGGGTAAAGTGGACCAGACAGCCTTAAAATTAAAGCGGTAAGTTTACTGAAAATAACTTAAATAACTTGTTTTTTGAATTTTATTTCTGGGATAGAAAGAGCGAAAAACGAGAGATAATGGAGAAGAAATTAATTAATAAAATTATTTTAAGAAAAAAATATATACAGGGTGTCCCAGAAATAAGTGCAAGTATTTTAATTGGTAGTATAGTTCAACCCCAGAAACACGCCTATGGGGTTTTTTCGCGAAAAAAAATTGAAAATTCGAAATTTGATTTTTTTAGTTTTCAGCTAAAAACATAATTTCTTGATAATATGGCAACATAGGTATTAGATTAAATTTACAAGAAAGAAAATCCAGAAAAGATCCACAATTTTAGCAAAAAATTATTTTTTTTGGAAATTTTCAAAGTAAAATAACTCCGTTATTTTGGACTTACTTGAAAAACGATAAAGAGAAAATATGTTTCTTTTATCGAGATCTACCACCCCTTAAAATATTTGCACTTATTTCTGGGATACCCTGTATAATCTGAATAAAAAATATGTTAATAATTACAAGAAAATGTTTATACATATTTAGAATAATATACTTACCGTATTTTTGAAGTAGAAAAAGCGAAAAAAGAAAAAAAAATTCAAGAAAACTAAAATAATATTTCTGATTCTTTTTGTATAAAATACTGAAAAAATAATCCAAGTGAATAAATATTATACAAAACATTTAATTGAAATATTTTTTTATCTTGGTAAAAATATCTTAAAAATCTAAGAAAATTGTTAAATAAAGCAAAGTTCAAATTCTGCATCAAATTTTTTACTTAAAAAAATAAAAAATAATAGAAATGCACAGATAAATAAAATAAGCATTTAAGCTTTAAATTATGTCCTAATTTTAAAATAATTGTTGTTTTTTTATAAAAATAAATAAACATTTAATATGAGGAAATCTGCTGAGGAAAAATAATAAAAAAGGTAACAATTAATAACTAAAATATAATATCAAATTAATAAGAGACAAACCAATGAAAAATAAACGACAATTACATTATAACACTATACGGGGTGTCCCAGAAATGAATAGTATTTTAACTAACCAAACCATACCCCAGAAACACGCCTATAAGTTTTTTTTCACGAAAAAAAAATTTGAAAATTGGGAATTTTTTGAAATTTTTTTGGATTTTTTTTAGTTTTTAGTTAAAAAACATAATTTCTTGATAATATGGCAACATAGGTAGTAGATTATATTTACAAGAAAGAAAATCCAGAAAAGATCCAGCGGTTCTCAAAATTTTATCAAAAAATATTTTTTTTGGGAAATTTTCAAAGTAAAATAACTCCGTTATTTTGGACTTATTTGAAAAACGATAAAGAGAAATTATTTTTCTTTTATCGAGATCTACTATACCTTAAAATACTTGCACTTATATCTGGGACACATTGTACGTATATATTTAAACCATAATACCGTATCATCGAAAAAGAAACGGCGTCAGCGGTGACCATGAAATGAAGATCGCTGTCATTTTACATGTAAAATTATATGGGGAATGTCATCGATATTCATTTCCAAGCCAACTGGACGCCGTTTTTTTCGAACATTCGGTATAAACTAGAAGGCAGGGAGAAATTTAAAAATATATTCCATATATTTTAATACAATAAAGAATATTGATTAGCTTTTAGCAAATTATCATCTAAATAAAAAAAGGTAGTACAGAGTACAGTAGAATATAATTAATTAAAAAAAATTAGAAATACTACTCTACCAAGTCTACATTTTTATCTTATATGTATATTTTTGATATGTGTGTAAAACATCAATATATTTTTCGGTAATCCACTTATTATTTTTTACTTCTTTATGTTACTCGATTATTTTAATAAGACTTAATTTAGTTTACAACAAAACTAGTTAAGATTTTAAATGAACATTAATAAACAAAGACGGTACATGCCTGAAACGCTAAGAAAAACAAATAAATGCTGTAGCAGCTATCGGAAAAACGCGCAACAATACGTTTATTATTACTAAAATTCAGCGGTTAATTTTTTACACCAACAACGAAATCCGATATACTATCCAGTTTAAAATATTCGAAATATCATAATTAGAACGCTTATTTGTTTTAGTTTTAAAACGATACTGATTGGCAATAACGTCACCGGCCGTGTTGAATTATTCATATACATACGCCGATTTAATATAAAATTGGCGAAAAATAATACATAATAATTTTACCATGTAATACACCTAAAATTCCACATTTATTTTAAGCTTTATTTTTACTTACGTTTAAATAAAACCGAATTAATATACAAAAAAATTCAACAGTTAATATTATAGGCACCAAATTAGCATTGTTACTGGGCAAAAGAGAATTAACGAAGCGGCACATGGCCAATCAAGCGTTACAATAAATTACCGGCTAAATTACGAAATCAGAGCAATATAAGAACAAGGAATTAATATATTACCTCGTCCTCATATTATGTTTACTTACCTCTATTTATTAAACATCTAATAACCTATAATTTGAAACATATTTGATAATTCTAAATATGTAATTAATATCTATACAGGGTGTTTCAAAAAACATGTGTCATCTCTTGTGGGGAGATTCCTCACGTAAAAATAAGATTTAACATAGGTCCGATTTGGCTTTGTTTCGTAGCTACAGCGTGTTAAACTCTTGATCGTTTTTCAATTTGTTATAATTTTCTTCCAAGTGCTTTTAGCGATTTGAATGACATTTTGAGGATAAAAGTATAAGTGCGACATATTAATGCTAAAAAAGTGTCGACATATTCACCAGGGACGTGCGTATGGGTTATTACTGGTATATTTTTCTACGCCACTGACTTTTTTCTTTTGTTGGAAAATTGCGAAGAACGTTAAATGCTGATTAAAAGTTATCTTGTTTCTCTTCCGACGACGGAAAGAGAAAACTTTCCGAAACGTTAAGCATTTTTTTCTTTGTTAGGCAAATTTTTATTACTGTAAACACAACTTCTGACAAGCAGCGTCCGTTTAGGTTTAACTCCAGAAGTGTTTACAAAAAATAACTATTTTATTTTGTAGATTTTTCTTGCAGTGCAGTGGCGAAATACCCATAAAGGATTTTTTGGATAGATGAATCCGCCACATAGGTATAGACATTTTTTATCTCTTGATATTTTGTCGAATTCGGTCTCCTTGATGAGATAAAAGCATTTAGACACAAAGCCTTAGCCACAGTACATACTCCGGAGTCGTTTCTGACAAAATAAATTAATAATATCGTATTACATGGCTGTACCTAAGGGGGAGCTTGAGTTACCGAAAACCCCCCTTCCCGTGGATCCGCCACTGGGTAGCATTGTTCGTCAGTGTAATAAAGTTTAGTAAAGGTGCGTTCACACCGCTGCGCCGCTCTCATTTTTTTAACATATACTTTTGTGCGCGCTAAAAAAACTACACTTCAAAAGTACATGTAAAAAAAGGTTTTGCGCCGGTGTGAACGCACCTTAATAAATTACATTAAATACGTAATTTATTATTTTAATTTTATTAAATGTCATTAATAAAATTGCGTTTATCTCATCGAGAAGATCGAAATGGAAAAAATATCAACACACGTCTTTTAATGAATATTAAATGGCCTATATACTTTTTCTAATGAGAGGAAAAAAAGTCAGTGGCGCACATGTTTTTTTTTAGAAAAATATTCCACTGATAACTGATAACCCATATGCACGTCACTGGATAATCTGTACACCCCAGAAACACGACTGGGTTTTTTTCGCGATTTTTTTTTAAATTGGAGTTTTTAAAAAAAATATATATAATTTTTTTAGTTAAAAAACATAATTTCTTGATAATATGGCAACATAGGTAGTAGATTAAATTCACAAGAAAGAAAATCCAGAAAAGATCCAGCGTTTCTCAAAATTTAACCAAAAAACATTTATTTGAAATTTTCAAAGTAAAATAACTCGATTATTTTGGATTTATTTGAAAAACCGCAAAGCGAAAATATGTATTTTATATCGCGAGATCTACAAGTTCTGAAAATATTTGCACTGATTTAAGACTCACCCTGTATTAATGCAATTCATCATACGATTTGAATCATACGGTAGGTATTACAAATAAGAGTTCCTTTTCCAGGTTTTTATCGTCAAAAATAGATGTAAAATCTTGATATTCTTGTTCTGACATATCGATACTGATTGCCAATAGCGTCACTGGCTGTGTTGATTTATTCGCCAGTTGATTTAATATAAAAATTCCCAGCGTTGAATTTAGTTAAAATGGAAATGGACGGCGCTGTTCCCTTTGATTGGCTTTTAAAACAATTTAACGAAGAATTCGGTTTTGATTGATTGGAACGATAAAGGCTCATGTGTGCTCGCAATATTAAGCGAATTCTTCGACTTACTCTATCAGTGGCGCCGCAACGGGCAGGTTAGCTATTTTTTAACCCAGACCCAGACGGAGTTCTAGGAGATATATGAGACCGGGTAAGTGAAGGCAAGTTTGCGTAATTTGATGCTGATCAAAATGTCACATAAGAGTCACATAAAATTCCGAATACTTTCGAAGATTTTTCGACTCTATATTGAATTAAGAATGTAGTGATAATAATGATAATAATAATAATCTAGATAATAACGTATTGCAGTAGGGTAATGTCAAATAAAACAATATTAGAAACATCCTAAAAAGTGACAGCGGCCGACTAGATTTTTTCCCAAAAAAATTACAGCTGCCCACTAGATTCTTTATCTAAAAATGATTTTTGTCCTGACATGTAATGCTTTACATTTTATTTTTTAATTTCAAATCGGTGAGTTTTATTAAAAAAACACAAGAGATAAAAAAGTTTCTAAATAAACTAAACTATCAAAATTAATTTTTTTTGCATGTGTTTGATAAGATTTTTCTTTAAATTTCATTAACAAGAATGATAGGGGTAGTTTGTTTCAACCCCTTCCACTCATTTTAAAAAAGTGAAAAAATTACCAGAAAGTGTGTTTTCATAACAGTAATGC